CCTCGGCCGAAAGCCTCGCACAGCCCACACCCACACCCACACGAGTCACCGCGGGCGGAAGGGGAGCGTCTGCGTGACACGCACAAACCTCCCCGGCTCCCCGCTGCTCCTGGGCGCTTCCAGTCGCTGCCGGCATGGGGAACATAACTTGTGTTCCTCAGGCACCTGGGAGGCTCAGAGGCTCTTTCAGAAGGAAGCCTTCGCTGAAGAAAGAGTAAGTACGCTTGCTTTTACTTTGGACTGCTTTTCAAGTGGTGCTGGCTTCCCTGCTGACTTTCTCCCATGCGAGGCACCACGCAGAACTGGGCTAGCAGCTGAGCCCCGCTCGGGAAACCCAGGAGTTATTTACGTGCTCAGCAGAATCGGGCTTTTGCATGGTTTCGCAGGGTGCTGGGCAGTGCCAAACGCGATCAGCTCACCACAAGCGCCTGGGAAGGAATTCTAGGGCTCTGCTGGCGGAGTATCCCAGCGACACTGCCCCCAGGAGAAACACGATTTATTTCATTCCACTTTGAAAATTAGAACTCCCCTCTATGGGACAGGCAGGGCAAGGTGCAGAACGCCTGACACTCCTTGTTTTCACTTGGCGATTTTTTTTATTCACGACGCCCAGAGCTGTGGTGCCGTGTTGTGAAAAAACAACAATCACACTCCTCTTGCTTTGGAGAGAAAGCCCCAAATCCCAACACTCTGCCCATACGATTTGACCTGCGTTTGTAACCCTGAAGGAAGGCACAACAGAAAATGTCCGTGAAATCCTCTGCGGACTTTGGTGCTGGGCTGGCCAGGGCAGCGTTCAGGTACCACAGCGATGGACGGCTGTCCCAAAATAGAGCCTACCAGGGAGTGCAGAGCAAGCTTCCCTGTGCACTGCCTTTCCCACTGCTCGTGCTCCCATCAGCGTAGTGACAGAGCTGCTGCCGTTACCCAAGCACATACGAAGCAGAGCCCTCCCCATCCTGAGCGCTCTGGGCTGGAAAGGAGCTCTGTCGGGAACCAGGGTGATTCCTCACGAACCTGCCGGCCCCATCTACGTTGGGTTCAGCATATGCGCTGGGCTTTGAGACAAACCCCATAAACTCTGCTAGGCTGAGGGGTTTCAAATCAAGAGGAGACACTGAAACCGTCCCCTTGGTCTCCTGCGCTGCCATAAATTGGGAGCAAATCTGTAGGAGTCTGTGGAGCTATTGTGGGGTAAAAGAGAGGGGATCAGCTGGGGAATTTGGACCCTGGAGGGCTGACATCAGGTAGCTGCAGTGGAGCAGCCAAGCCCCAGAGCACCTCCTGTCCTCACTGACTCCCGGCTTCCCATGCTCATGGCTCTCCGTGGAGATAAGCCTGGTTTCTGCTGAATGAAACGCTGCAATCTGGTTGAAAGAGAGAGCAACTGCTGGGAAGTCCCAACAAAGCAGTCCCAGTGCTTCTTAAACGGCATCAGTAACTGCTTGTTAATGGTGTGCATGCAAGGAGAAGCTGGGGGCCTTGCTGGGAGTGGAAGGAAGGAGAGAGGAAAACCACAAAGATAGAAATAAAACCTGTTTGTGAATGTATGTTGGCGTATGTGTACATACACATCTCCACTCCAGGGGCTTTGGAATAGTTGTCGGGACTGGGTTTGGTCTTTCTATTTTGCAGTGGAACATCTGGTCCCTCCGCTGATTTGGAGACACGGATGAGCCTAGCCGATTGTTTCGTTATGCAAAGACATGTAAAAAAGCAAAGAAACACCAACAAGTGCAGCACAAACCCCATTACAATTCTCCCAGGCTGTTTATCAGCCCTTTGCTGGGCTGGGATGATTAGAAAGCCCGTGACAAATTGCATACTTAGCTTTCTGGCTTCCTCATTTCTGGGCAGATTTCACTATGCATCAGCCTAGATCTGTGTTTGCATGTGTGTTTTGGTTTTTTTTCTCCTCTCTGTAGACAAAATGGCAAGAAAAAACTGCCCAGCTTTTTTGGTATAGAAGGGGAGCGGGAGAGGGATACGACCACAGACAAAATCCTGCAGTATATTCCAGGAAAGGCAAGTACAAACACATCCAACCCCCCTCCCCACTGCTCCCAGAGATTATTCCCACCCACCCCAAGGACAGCGCTGTGCGTAAGATGGGTCTGGATCTGGGGGGGTAGCAGCAGGTCTGTCTCAAGGAGATGGAGGTCACATCTGCAGCCCAGGAAGGGATGAGCCCTGTGCCCTTCACAGCAGCAGAGCTAGCTGCTCCAGGGTCCCCATGCAGGTGTTGAGGGGACCTGCCATCAGCCAAAACGTGTGACGGGGTGGGAGGGTCGTGCTGAGAGCAAAGCAGGCAGCATGGTGGGAATATCTCACACCCCCCTTTGCTCTTGGTTCTTTTGTTTCTGGGTAGCCTGTGAAGGAAGGGAAAATTAGAGTGAGCATTCAAAGGTAGGATGATTCATTCCCACGCTGGAATGAGACGGAGCTGGCAGTGGTATTAGCAATAAGCCTGGGAAGGTAATCGGGAGGGGCAGGTCTGTCCCAGGCACGTACCAGCCTTGTGGCCTTATGGCCCATTTCCCAGCACTGCTGAGGGAAAGCAGAGGTGAAATGATGAACCCCAGTATGTTTGCTCGGTCCCTTTGGGTGGGCCAGGGATGTGGATCGAGCTTCAGGGCCTGTTGAGCTGTACTGTGCATGCATCTCCCCCACTGCATGGCAAATAGGCTATGTGGATATGGGTGAAGGGGAAACTGAGGCAGAGACTCACAGCTAGACAGAGGTAATTTCAGAGAAGGTCAGCAGCAGGACATTCTCTCTTGGGTTTCAAGCTACTGGCTAGGTGTATTTCACTGGTGATGAGGTGCTTGTCAAGGGCTTGGTGTGTTGCAGGACCCAGTTCCGAGCAGCCCTGCTCACGTACTTTGGGTTGCTGCAGAGATTCAGACATCTGCTCCCCACAAGCAGGGACCCTGCAGTCCCTTTCCATTCAGCTGCTCCCAGGTTGGCCCTTTCCAACCGAAAGGACCTTTGCTTTTCCTCATGTGAGCCTGAGAAGGGAGCGGGACCGGGATCCTCCTCCTGGCTTGTGAGGTGGCCGTGGGTGAGTGCCATCCCCTCTCTTGGGGAACGTGTCCTGAACTGTACAGGTGGGAAGCACAGCAGAACTGGGACTGTTTCACAGTCCTGCCGTTATTGGTGAATGAGAGTAATGGGCGTGTGGCACGGGCATGGTTCTCTGCGGGACTCAGAAGGCATCCAGAAGGGTTGGGCAGCACTTGACGGGACCAGGTCCCAGACGGATCCTGGATACTTCCCCTGGGGAAGCAGGGAGAGCTGTCACGTTAGCGGATCCTGGAAAATGAATCCTGCAAGCTGACAGAACAAAGGTCACCGAGAGGTTATTCATTCGGGAGCACAGGAGAGTGTGGGATCTCTTCAGGGAAGGAAGGAGGGTGGAGCAGTTGTTTAGATGTTACCCTTGCCTGGGGCAGATGGGATTCAAACTCCCTGCTCAGCCACAAGCTTCTTGTGTGGCCTAGAGAAAGCCTTGGCTTAGTCCCTTTCCCACTCCTGTCTTTTCAGGAGAAACACCTCCGAGAGCGGGAGGTGACCAGCTGCTGCAGGGCCAGGTTAGAGAGGAGCCGTCAGCACGGGACTCTTCCGATGCAATCTCGGAGGAGATGGGGTTGCCAAACCTCTGGCCGTAGCAGGCAGTTTGGGAGTGGGGCAAGTGACATCCCCGAAAACCAGGCCCCCTCTGGACCCTGCCACGGGCAGCTGGCACACAAAGCCAGCGCCTTTTGCTCCCACCAACCTTCTGCCCTGTTTCCCACACTTCCCAGTTACGGCTTCTGTGAAGCCTAAGCAAAAGCGAGGGGGGAGGATGTGCCAGAAACCCGGTGCTTCTCATTTGCTTCTTTTATCATTAAACAGCAGCTTTCGGAGCCCCGGGGCACCAGCCTTGCAAGGCTGAGCTCTTCCTGCTGCCAGGGTTAGTGATTCAGCTGGGAGTCACTGGGGTCTGCAGGGGCTGAGGCAGGTTAATTATTAACTTGCTTTACCTGTAGGATAAGGCATCCGAGACAGAGGGAGAGAGCGAGAGAACATGTCAGGGCACTTGCACTGCACTGCCAGAGACCCGCTGCTTCGTCAAACCCTGAGAGGAACCAGGTTTCCAATGATCTGCACTGCCTCAAACCCAGCGGGATAGCTGAGCTAAGGGGAGCAGTGCTAATCAGGATGGGGCTGGGGGAGGAGAGTGCTTGCCACCAGCACAACCCAGCCAGGGGAGTAAACAGCTGGCTGGGGAGGGTTTCAGAGGAATGAGAAATGCTAGTCCCCTTTCATTTTGGCTGCACACTGAGGCATCCCCACGGTTTTGGGAGGTGCATGGGCCAGGGAGATAAGTGATGCTCGTGGAGGAGGCTGTGACAGCTCTGGTCCCCAACCCTCACAGGACACCGTGGGGTTCCCAGTGCCGCTTTTTGGGGGATGGCCAGATGCAGGCCACGCTGGTGACTATAAACCTGTCTCAGAGAGAGCAGGGATGCATTTGTGGGTCTGAGCCCAGAGACATCTGAGATTCAGCAGGAGCTGTTTTCTCCAGAGCTTGGGTTTAGGCAAGTCCTCCGCATCCTAGGAAATTGCTGTTGTACCTAAGCAGATGGTCAGGAGTTTATGGGAAGCACCGTCAACCTTACAAAGAAATAAAAGACCTGAACAGTCCCACTTCTTCCTGCGAAACCACAATACCTGATCATGAGTGATAAGACTGCTGGGGCTTGGAAGACTGGTGTGGCACGGGCGGATGGGGCCTGCTGCGTGGCAGCCTGCAGCTGAAGGGGCGGCAGGAGATTTTAGTGACGTGATCCCATTTTGTCCATGGTCTTGGAGATGCCCCCATGCTTAGCCACTAAATCCAGCTGTCTTCTCAGTCTTGCTGCAAACCCTTGCGAGCTGGGGTTGCTAGATGCTTCTTTGGGAGAGGGAGGTGTTCACGTTAATTTGTTTCTTGCCACATGAACGGTGGCAGTGGAAGCTCTCCCTTTCCCTCCTGATCCCGGGAGGATCCCTGTGGAAGCTGGCGGGTTGGCTGAGCTCTTTGCCAAAAATGCCGCTGGATTCCCAGCTCCCAGGTTGCTTTTGCTTCTTGGGGCCTTACTTATTACTGGGGAACTTGGCTGCCACGTTCCAGGCAGCAGCATCACCCAGGCAGCTGGTAGCCGGCGTTGCTGCTTATCGCTGTGTCCGTAATTTCATTACTTTATCGTCTCCCCCCTCCCTGTTGCTGGTTGCTGCCCTTATCCAAGCAGTGTTTTGGTTTTGCTGCCACAGCTGTCAGGTGATCAGTTGCTCTTTGTTCTGACAGCGGCTTGTAGCACAAATGTAATCTTTTCCTACGCTTAATTGCCTCTCAGTGAGGCCATTAATTGGCAGCCAGCAGGTTCCCACCTCCAGGGGAGGACCTGGGTATGTGTTCATGGGTACTGCGCGGAGCCAGCTGGAAAAGCTGGAGGGAGACTTTGAGCAGAGAAGGGGTTAACGTGTGTCCTAAAAAGAGTTATCTAAATTCAGTGAGGCCCTGGAAGGAACCCCAAGCTTTGCGGGTGAAAGGATCCCGACAGCATTAGGTTCCTGTTACTGGTTCACCAGCTCCCCTCTGGCCTGAGCGCTGCCGATGTCCCTGGCATGGTTATGAGAGGGGTTAATCTCATGCCGGAGGGGTGAGTCATGGAGGCCCCAGCAAGACAGATCTGGTTAGCTCTGCTGGCTCTTCATTTATCATGGGGCTTACGCAGCTGTCTCCTTGGCACGGTGCACTGGGAGCAGGCACACACGGGCCGGACAGGTTGGGCAGCGGGGAAGCGCTGGCTGCTGGAAGCCCCTGGCTCTGCGGGGTGACAGGCTGTCACTGGATCCCTGCTGAGCCCCGGCAGCCCGCTCCCTGCTCATTCCTGGAAATGCTGTTTGGACAGAAGCGTATGAGGCCCGGGGAGCCACATGCCACCGCTACACCCTGCCTCCCAGCTCCAGCACGGCCATGCCCTCGCTGGAAGTATCCCCAGGAAATGCAGCCGCCGGTGCTCGGAGTGGGGTCCCACCAAGGTGGCCTCACAGCCTGGCGACTGAGCAGCAGGGCAAACCTTGCATCTCCCACCTACCTTTCTCTTTTGCTTGGGAATGAATATCCCGGAGTCTGTGACGTGTCTAACAAAGCTGACATTTAAGACTCAGATATGCAAGTTGGGTGTTGACCTGGGGGGAATCAGTGGTGTCTGTGACCTCTCTGAGATACAGCCCTTCCCTTCTCCCCAAGGAAATCAACCGACCCCCAGAAATAAAAACGTTCTTCCCAGAGAAACTGCAGGGAGAGCTTTCCACCCCTGGGATTTATGCGGTATCCAGACAGTGCAACAGCAACCCCGGGCTGTGAGCAGTGGAGTGCCGCAGGGGTGTGGGTTTGTGCCATTGCGCAGAAGGAAGAATTTCCGTATACCCAGAATGCAGGAAATAAGGGAACCCCCGCAGCCCTGAGTGCTATCTCCCTCTCACGTCAGCCCTTGCTCTCCCCCGGTGCTTGCTGGCTTCCCTTAGGTTTTTGCGCTGACAGTGAGCAGCTTCACGACTCAGTGCCTCGCAGCTGCTTTTATGGCTGTGGGACTCTGCCTCAAAAGTGTCTGGGCACCTGAAACAACAGATTCCACCTAGAGAAACCGAGAGATCCGAGCAGATGGGAGAGCTGAGGAATCCAGGTGGAACTAGAGCAAAGAAAACCTTTCCACTAACCCCAGTGGAAGACAAGCTGTGTTTGCTTAGCCTTGATTGGTCCTTGTTCCAGTGAATTTGATTAGGAAGGCAGGAGGTCGTCCGTGGAGTTGGGAGACCCTAAATGTAGGATGTGCTTCTGCACCCCTTCTTTCCCAACCCAGAAAACCTCCCTTTAGGTCAGTATCTCCCCCTGCCTAGGGAGGACAGCCTCCCAGCAGTAACCGAACCCCAGCTCCACGCTGGCATGGAGACCCACCAACAAACAGCCCAGCCTGGGTGCCTTTCTGAGGAAGCCCTTCTGGGAAGATGTCCTGGGAATGTCTCTTCCCAACATCAGGCCCCCACCTCCCACCGGCTCTGATTTGTTTTTCCTGAATCCTTGGTGCAGAGTATTCAGAACCAGGAAAACCAGAAAGAAAACTTGGACCAGAGGTTCCCCAGCCTGTTCAAGAAGGGACGAAGGAAAACGGTTGTCAGGAATCTGGGGAAAATGATCTATTACTCCAAGGTCAAGTTTAAGTTTCAGCACTGCCAGGTAAGCTGCAGCACCTGTTTGTGGGTGTTTCTCTTCCCAGGCACGGAGTGACCCTGCAGGACTGGGAAGTAAAGTGTAATTCTGGGAAATGTGACTCACGGAGACTTCCTCGGGCTACTGCGTGGCCCAGGGACTTCTGCTGCTACGCGGTACATGGGTACCAGCTGGCGCCCACCGGCTCCCATCCCAACGGGGACCTGGGCCATGCTTCCGTGCCCAGCTGCTGGGCTGGCAGCAGATCCACCAGTAGAGATGCAGTGATGGCCCTTGGATAAGCGACCGCTGGCTTTTCTGTGGACCGATCAGTCTGAGATGCAGAGGGAAGCTGGGAGGAGGAAGGCATCCTGAGATAAACACCAAAACGTGTCTTTTCTGCAGGAGGTGAATGACTGCTTCTTGGAGCTGTTCCAGTCTTACCTGTACTTCCAGTCTATGGGCTCCAGCGGACTCACCTACCAGGTAGGGCATCTCCCAGACGCTGCAGCAAGCACTGGGGAGTCCGGGCAGTATGGCCAGGCTGGGGGCACTGGGTGGACGGGATGGGACAGGGCAGGGGACTCTGCTTCTGGGGCTGCCACTGGCCTCCTCTAGGTGATCTCAGCAAGTCCCTTCCCGTGGATGCCAAGGTCCTGGGGGAAGAGAGCATTTCTTCCTAAGGACTGCACCCAGACAACTTCAGTTTCACCTGGGTCCTTGGCCTTGTCTGTGGGGAGAGATAAAGGACCCCACGGAGGTGGGATAGGGGCTTGTGCAGGGCTGGCAGGCAGGACCAGGGATGGGAGGCATTTAGGCTACCTTGGCTTATCTTTGTGTAGAGCACCAAGCAGAGAGAGCTGTGCCTCGGTAAGGGTCAGAGCTCCTATTGCTCAAAATCCCACTGGCCTCGGTGCCAATGGTGGACTTGGCCCTGGCTTCTGAACCAAGGGGGAGTTCTTCACCTGCAGGGCGGAGAAAGAGGCATGTGGGAGAGGGTGGAAAGAAAAAACTGAGGGCAGCCTTGGGGAGCTATCCTGGCAAACCGTTCATCAATCTTTTAACCTGATGATGCTGGTGAATTACAAACAATAGGCTTTTTTGCACATGCAGCCAAAAAATCACAGCCGAACAAACAGGAAGCCCTGAATGTGCTTTCCCTCCACATGAGTGAGTAACTAAAACTGAGCATGGCTGTTTTGTAGATGTTCGTAAAATTCGTTCCTTTTAGAAATGATTTATTGTCTTCTAGGTGACTTGAGGTTAATGCAATATGCCAATACAATCTCCTGAGTCATCCAGCAACCCAGCCTTCAACTGGAAAGACACATGTCAGAATACAAACAATATTACAAAATCCCCCATCTACTTTATAAACAGCTCCTTAGATTATTAATTCTAGAGGAATTAAAAAGGAATTAATGCGCCAGTGCTGGCCCCTAGACATCACAGCAATTAGCATCTTTTACAGCCCTTGTTTAGAAAGCCCAAGGTGGGGAGCACAACTTGTCATATGTTCCTGTGCTTCGTTATAGTGGGACTCTGATGGAGTGTAGAAACCGGACAGCTCAATTTTACTTTATGGTCATTTACATCTTTCTTGTGTTAAGCCAGCATTGTTTTGCTGAGGTTTCTCTTAAAACTGGAGGACTTGGAATATAAAGAAAGTGTTCTTTCCAGCATGGCAGCTAATTACTGCAGTACTGGCCCCACGGAGCCCAGGGAGCTGCTGAACGTGCTTCCTCTGGGGGCTGTGCTGGATCAAAGTCCCAAATGTTTCCCCTCAGAGCAATGTTTTGCAGTCTAACATCGTGAGCCACAGCAACCTGCTGGTGCCAAGTCTGGACTTCCAGTCTCCTACGGCAAACAGGCATTAATTGCAGAGCCTCCCTGCGGGCTGCCCCCCAAAATAATGGTGTGTTCTTCTTATGCAGGGACTGCTGCCTTTAAAAGAGCTGAATGTGTGTGAAATTGAGAATGGGAAGAGCACCGGGCAGGAGGATCACGCTTTCCGCATTGCAGGTTGGTGCCTCTCCGTTTGCTTTGAACAGAGAACAGAGGGTGTATGAATCACGACTGTCTCTGCTCTTTGTCCCACTCTGACCTAGTCCCAGAGAAGAACCACATTGTGGAAAGAGGTTGTAGAGAGCTGAAGCTTTTCCTCCCAGCATTCGCATCTTGCTCCTAAACACCTGGACAGTGATGCCCAGGGCTGCAGGCAGGGAAGGGACTGGATAGGGACTGCAGAGGAAGGATGGTCCTGTGCTCCAGCTGGTTAGTACTCAGGACACATGGTGACAGTTCCCACCTCTGCCCAGTCATTTGCTCTTTGTGCACCACATTTGAATGAAGGAATGGAATAAAACTCCTTCTCTCACCTCTTGTCGCCATATGAGCCCCGAGGCCAGGGAGTGACTCCGAGCAGGCACGTGTACAGCGCTGTGCGTGCTGATGTATGGCACTGCTCAAGTACACAGGATGGGCAACAGTGCCGAGAGGTGAGTTGCTTCTACCAATAATGCCAGGCTGGTGCTCTCAGGACCCGATGTTACTTCACCAACTCTTCCCTCACCAGCACTCCTGCCTCCACAAGCTTCTTAAACTTTTCTCTGAGTGATCTTGCTTTATAAAAGTTTTCCTGGGATAACAACCGGTCTGCAGCTTGGCTGGAGGCTTCTTTGGGCTTAGTCATTGCTGAATCACAGCAGTCGCAAGTCCCCAAGAGTAGCAGTTAAAGCATGAAGTACACAGAAGTAAGTAAATAACCCAGTAACGATACAGAGCCAAGAAAGCTCATTTGTGTCCTAGGCCCACTGTCCATGTACTCTGGTGTCCTCTGTTAGAGAGAAAGTTATACAATGGCCGCTCAAACAAAAGAATTACATAAATTATAACAAGGAGCTGATACAAACGACACATTAATTTTAAGGGCTGCTGAGCTGTGGTCTCGTTACACTGTACTAGGCAGGGCTCTCCAACTCTTTTTGGGAGTCTGTAAAATGAAGGAAAACTTCTCCCAGGCGTAACCGGTCAGGGGCATCTGCACTGGGGTGGGTGGACTTGTTCTGCTTGTATTAAAACACGCAGGAGTGTGGCTGGGTGGAAAATTGCCTCAAACTTTGTTGGGTTTGTGTCCTGCTTAGGGAAAGAACAAACCGAGGCCTTTCTGATAGAGAGTGCTGTATATATCAGGAAGCGGCGACACGAAGCAACCAGGGAGGTAGCGATATTTAGGATCGCCGGGAGATCAGTGGAGCAGTTTTATTTTTCTGCTAGAGGGGGAGAAATCAAGGCACGGAGGGGATAAGAGCCTTGTCCGTGGTCCCACACAGGGTCTGGGTGGAAGTCTTTTGTCTCATGACTCTGAGACACAACAGACACGCATCCATTCTCTTGTGAAATCCCGTGGCATCAGTAGTTCCCCATGGACTGCACTTTCTAGGGTAGCTCAGTATGTCAGAAGATGCCGGCACGATCATTGGAAGTGTGGAGGTGGAGTGTGACAACGAAGCCTGGCAGCGTGCAGAGCCATCCATCCCTCAGTGCACTGGCACGGAGAAGTGGACGGCGGCTGGCCATCACCTTGGCTTTGTGGTCCATCTCGTGCACAGCCTCCGATGCTGATGTTGTTGTTGAGCACCTTGAGCTACCTCTGCCTCACCTGCAAACGTTGCAGCTTTTTAGTGTCTCCAGACTGAGAGACTTCGGTGGGAGTAAACTGCTGCTGCTCTGGGAAGGGGCTTTCTTCCTTCCAATGTTCCTCTGGAAGCATTCTCAAGGAAAGAGGAAGGACAAGACAGGAGAAAAGAGCACGAGGGCCGGCACAGGTTGCTCAGCATGGCTGTGTCATGGCCCTGCCGCAAACACGCCCTTGGGGCTGAGGGAAATGTCAGCAACTGAATTAGCAGCAGCCTTTCAGGCTCTGCTTCACAGCCTCCCCAGCAGCTCCTTGCACGAGCTTCAGCCATGTCTCAGGCTTCAGGCTTAGGCAGGAGTTTCTCTTCTCATTTTCTCTTCCTTTGGGGCCCCTTTTAGATGTGGCAACGTGAGCAGCCCTCAGGATATGTCTGAAAGGCTGGCCTTAGAGGAGGTGGCAGAGCAAGCAGTGCCATGTTAAGGGTCATGCCCCACCAGAAAGATTCCTGCTGTTTGTATAAGGGCCTGGATGCCCAGAGAAGTATTCAGACCTGCCAGAAGATCTAGATAACGTTAGCACCTTTATACCCTCCTAGCAACTCTATAAAGTAGGGAATCACTTTATCTCCATTGCAAAGACAGGGGAACCAAGGCAAGAGGAGACAAGAGGGCTCCAGAGCCACAATGGTACATAGACGCTTGGATGCCCAGTAATTCTTGACACCTAATTATCACTGTAACGGCTCTGAATGGCATGATGTATGGAAAGTCACTCAGGGAGTCTCTGCCTCAGTTTCCCCACCTCTGCTTTGTCTGTATTAGTGCGTTTCCTGACAGACAGAGGTGTTTCAAAGTCTTAATTAACTGTTGCTCATAAGTAATGCAGGAATTATGGGATGAAAGACTCCACAGAAGGGCAAAGTATCATGCTTATTCAGTGCACTTGCTTATCTGAATACTTCCAAGTCCCGCAAAGCCGGATCTTATTGAGCATGCACCAAGTATGGTTTAATATGAGATCACCGGTAAATTATTAATCATAACATACATTCTGCAGCCTGCCAGAAATGATTATTAACGTCACTAGGTTATGTCTGTAGTGAGTAGCAGAGGGTGTGTGAGACTTTTTGCTCGTGCTACTAAGCGAATGATAGCTGGAAACATTAAAATCAACAAGATATAGGGCTGTTCCTCCCTTCAAGAGTATGTCTGAGAGCAGCTTCAGCTTGTCTGGCACAGATTATATTTGGTGAAGCAATAAATAAACAGCGTCAGAAAGCTACTGATGTTCTACATATTGAGGCCAAAGTGAAACTAAGAAATAGCATGAAACTTTTGCATTGAGTTAGGCTGTCTGCAGCAGCACGTTGTGATAGTCTCTGCCCGCAGAGATGCTTTTCACAAACTGTTGGGGACTTTTAAAGCTGAAATCTGTCTGTTGATTTCAAGCTTGACTTTTGTACTGTCTTCGGTTTCTGTTCTTGGCCTGGTTTTGGACTGAAAAGTGGCTGGTGGTCAGAGCTAGGTGGGCTGGGGGGGCTTCACAAACTGTTGGGGACTTTTAAAGCTGAAATCTGTCTGTTGATTTCAAGCTTGACTTTTGTACTGTCTTCGGTTTCTGTTCTTGGCCTGGTTTTGGACTGAAAAGTGGCTGGTGGTCAGAGCTAGATGTGGCTGCGTGAGCAGGCGGTGAGGAGGTGCTGGAGCAGTCCCTGCCGGGGAGCTCCCCAGCAGACTGATGAGAGGCAATGTGCTCAGGGTAGTGGCAGGAAGGACTGGAGCATGATGGCAACAGAGCAATGCACTCGCAGGCAACCCACAGTGTGATGTCGAGCATAACAGCTCTGGCCAGCTGATTACTTGTTGATGCTGCAATTGGTGCCCTTATCTGCCCAGCTCATCTTGTATCTCGCATACCTAGGTCCTCTGCTGAATCCTCTTATTGTGTTCTGCCCTACTGAGTCAGAGCTGAAGCAGTGGCTTTACCACCTGGAGAAACAGATCCAGCTAAATGGAGGAAGCCTTGGCTTGCCCTTCCTCTCTCAGGTTAGTGTCTTGGGACGATGAGGTGCGCAACCGTTTCCCATGCTGTGGGCTCGGAGCTGAATGACGGGGGAAGCTGGGCCAGTTGGGTGGGTGCTGCACTGTTCTGCTGTGTTCAGTGGGAGGGATAATCTCTGCGGCCAGCCTCTCTCAACCATTTTCACCACACTTCTAGGCGCTCACCTAACACCTTCCTCATCCAGAATCCTGAGTGCCCCATGGGGCTCTGGGCGCCTCCTCCGGGCTGGAGAGCTTGAGCAGAGGGCTGGGGATGGAAAGGGAGAGGGGCTCTGGGTCCACTTCCAAATGCTCCTTGCTGTGCTTGCTGCTCTTTCAAAATGTTGGAAGGAGACGTGGGGTTAACTCCTGGCCTAATCCCCCTTTTCCAGGCCAGCTGCTTGAGTGCTTCACTACATCAGTCAGGGAGCTGCCCCTCTGGCGTGATGCAGAGGGGTTTTGGTGCCACTCGTACCACTGCCAGCAGCTGCCAGGGCTGTGCACGGTCTGTAATTCAGCCCTTCTGACGCGTGGCAATTGACCCCTCTCCGCCAGCAGCACGTACCAGCCTTGCCAGGGCGGTGGCCTGGGCTGGGGCAGCAGCGTGGCAAGGGCCTGCGTGTGGCACCGGCTGCTTGCTGCCCGAGGCACCTGTCTGTTTGCCAGTGCCTAGAGCTGGCCCTGGGCAATACGTCTCACAGCTCTCCCTTCCTTTAGTTATTCCACCACCCCTAAAATAACCGTGGATAGACATGCTAATTACCCACAGTTGACAGACATGTTCTTGCTTGGGAACTCCTCTGCCCGTGGAGGAACCCTGTATTTGTGTTCAGATGTCCTTAGGAGCTTAGGTCTGTGCAACCAGCACCTGAGTGAATGTGGGATTTCAGTCCGAATGGCAACCCCAAAGGTGCTCTGTACTGCTGAGACCTGACAGCAGCTTGCTGCATTTCTGCTGCCTGTGTGCGCGCACACAGCTTCAAATTTTGGAGCTTGCCTTGTGTGCAGTCTCCTGCGAGGGAAGGGTGCAAAAAGAAAGGCTTTGCAAGAGGGCCTGGCAGGGCGTGTGCGCTGAAAGGGAGACCTGCGACCCAGAAGTGCCACCACCACAGCCTCTGAAGGGTCAGAGGTTTGGGTCTGGTTCGGAGAAATTCTCACACAGTTGGCTGCTTGTGCAATTATCCAGAGTTTGCAAAACATTTGGAGGGGGAGACTGGAACCGGGGCCTAGAAAACAGGACCAGATTCGAGAGACCTGGCTTCTTTTCCAGTCTCTGCGGGGTGTTTTACTTCTCTCCCTGTCTTCATCTCCCCACTTGTAAAACAGAGGTAGTCCCCTTTGAAAGGCAATGTACAGATGATGCTAGGTACCAAGTATGTTTATTCAGTCCCAGCTGGAAAACTGGCTCCTGCACAGATTTATTTACTCTTTTGGGCTTCTGCCACACTTGAAAAGTGTCCTGAGATGGGCCACGTGGTAGCTAAACTCTTAGGGGAGGACATGTCCACCCTGCTTCTCAGTCCTGCTCCTGTCCCTAGAACGACTGGAAGCAGAGCTCCATGGGGAAGGAGGAGCTGCGGTGGTCCGTGCAGAACATGCCTGTCCAGGAGTGGAGAGGGACCCAGCGGGAATCCCTAGGCGATGTCCTCTGTGTTTCCAAAGTGAAGCTTCAGCATCTGCCTTTCCAGGTAGGACACACCTCTGGGGAGCAACCTCCTGTCAGCATGGCTCAGAAAAGGCAAGGGATGGAGTGACTAGCGCAGACTCCTGCCTACCTGCTGCCACTAATCCAGCAGGTCCCTGAAGGGTCCTTTTACCCACATCCCGGTAAATGGAAAAAGGTTTGTTACTGCTCCTGTGGCCCAGCAGTGGTGCTTGGGGACAGCACATGCACAAGTGTTTGCAGGACAGCGCTGGCAGCTGGAGCTGGCAGGAATCGCCTGTGGAGCCCAGTTGCAGGGAAGCAGCTCAGCTGTTCCCAGAGCCCTTGCCTCAGGCTGCGCTCAGAGAGACAAAGTAAAGGGCTCTCCAGATCTGAGCCCTGTCCGGCTGTTCACAGGGAACCCTCTTCCTCTTTACTTTCCAAGGAGCAGCATGACCGGCTGTTGGTGCTTTACCCGTCCACACTGGTGATAGTATCTGAAGAGCGCAACAGCCTCTGTTTTAAGGTAAGTTCATTTTGGAGCACCTTCCTGCTGTCTCTCACCCATCCACAGTGGCCGTTTCAGCACTTCTTTGGCTTGTTGCTCCCCTCCACCTGGGTTCCCTTGTGCTTCTCATGTTGGCAAGGGCTTTCCCTCCACACTGCTCCCTTGCCAGCTGGTAGGTGAGCAGAAGGATGTTGCAAGCTATCTTCCCATGAGAAACACCTTGCCCTCCTACAAAAGCCCAGGGGGAAAGGAGCTGGATGCCAAGGAATCTGAGTCTCTGGGAGGAGGGAGGCTGGCATGTTTCTGTGTGGTTATGCTGGCGGAGAGCCTGGCTCGCTTGCTTGAGACAGGAGCTGGAACAGCCCCAGAGAGTGCCCCCGCGGGGGCTTGGCTTCCCAGGCCCCGCTCTGTGGGACCGCTTGAAAGCAGGTAGTATCCAGGCAGCACATCTGATGCTCGTGGGGAAGGGCAAAGGCAGTTAGTTGGCTGGCGGGCAGAGAGGGGAGGCTGCTGCTGGTGCACTGCATTTGCTGCTCTTTCCCTCTGTGGAGCAAGGGCCCTGAGCAATGTCTGGGCATGCCAGCGGAAGGGTCAACAAGGATGTGGAGGCCTGAGTGCCCCAGGGGATGTGAGAAGAGCTTCTCTAGTCCACTGGTGTGTCTTTGCTTGTAGGAGCAATGCTGGGAGCCTCAGCACAGACGGGCAGTGGCACTGTGGGCTCTGGGAGCTGCATCCGCATTGCTTGCAGTCTGAATGGCCCTTAAACTTGATTGCCAACATCCATCTCAGACATCATTGCAATGGCTATTAAACAGCTCTGTGCTTTCTGGCCCCGTTTTCCTGTGCTAGAACAAATGTGCCAAAAGAGCGCTGAACTGTCTCTGAACCTGCAGGTGCAGCACCACTGGCACATGGCAGAGCGGAGCTGAGCTGCTCCTCCAGAGGAGCAGCATCCTTCTTAGTCACTGAGAGAGGAGCCAGTGACAAGGAAACCCTGCAGAGATTGAGGGCTTGTGAAATTCAGTGTGAACTCACTGGGGTCCTTCTTCACATGATTTCACCATGTCCACCTCAGGCCCCAAGCTATGCAGGCTGCTTTTAATTCAAGGGTGGGAAGACCTGCATAGAGCATCTCCCTGGCCAGAGGAGATGGCTGTGCCTGCAATGGGAAGGGGTGTGAGGAGGGACATATGCCAGCGAAAGCTCTCCTCCATCCCCAGTGCAACAGCGGAGGGTGTTTTCCAGCAGCCAGTGGCTTGTGTGACACACCTCAGACAGAGCTTGTTTTCGGGAACATGTTGTTTGCAGCTCCTGGGAATGGGGCATCACGTAAGGGGGCCTTGGGCTGGGCTCTCAGATTAACTCATCTCTTTTGAAACCTTAAACCAGATTTGTCTGCCCTGTCCGTGCAATGTTCCCTTCCCACGGTGCATGAGCGTTGGTCCCCGGGCGTCTCGCTCGCTGGGGTAATGGCAGGGATCTGCGCAGCCGAGTGCAGGCAGGAGGTGATTCACCAGCCTGTGACACTGCAGTGGGAACCTGATTTTCCACAGGCATGTCAGGGCACAGGAGCCTTCTCCCAGGGCTTCTGCAAATTAACTTCCCTTCCCTGCGAGCAGACGCTGAGCCCTACAATTTGTGTGTGAAGGAATAGCCTGGCCCTTTTGTTGTTCAGTTTCATACAAACCACAGGAGCTGCCGCTGCCAAGTTTGTGTGTGGGACAGGGGAAGGGAAGGCAGGGGCTGAGCCTGCTGGGATGGGGCTCACCCAAAGCAGCAGGCTCTGGCTCACCACAGGTTCACGCTGTGCCTGGGGGAGGACGGAGGGGCTCTCTGCAGCTGATGTGCATGTTATTTGCGGGATGCTGCTGCACTTCCCTAGGTGGGACTCTAGCCCCTGGGTATTTCAGCCCCCTCCCACGGACAGGGGGATGTTGCCTTAGGGAGGATGGAGCACAGGGCACCTGGGGGAAGCCCTACGCAGTCATCCTCGGTGGCAGGAGGGCTTGCTCGAATGTGCCGGAGAGCTGAGGAGCGGCAGGAGGAGGCGGCACTGTCCCCTTCCACACGCAGCCTTGCAGCACCTGCGCCGGCTGAAGCATCAAAGTCCATTTCTTACAGCAGCAGGGAAAAACGAGTCACGGAGCATTGCATGAGCTTTCCCTCCCAAGGTCAGCCTTCCTGTACTGCTCAGCCCATAAATCACTTTCGGTGCAGGAGAAATACCACAGAAGCCTGCGTGTGCCCACAGGCTATTGCAGAGAGGCAGCTGGCCAGCACAAACCGCGGACGCCCCGGCTGAGCTCCACGTTTCCCTTGTGGCAAAGCTGTCACGTCGGCCGCATTCCCCAGAGCCTATGTAGCTGGGACAGCTTTGCAGTGAGGACATGATGAGGGGTTTCTTCTAGACACCGTATTTTGCAGCCCCTAAACTTAGGCAAATAAATCCTAACTGATTGCACCTTTCGAGACGGCCTTCGGCTAAATGACAGGGCTTTGCTCCTGCATTCTGTGCTTCCTCCGCTGCTGGGCATGGGGGAGAGCGGCATGAGGTGGGAACTTCGTTTCCTGAGCGCTCCCCAGACCCTGTCTTTGCCATCCCGGACAGGAGCTGCTCCCAGGGCCATTGCCACCAGCTGCCCCCGCCTAGTGGTCCGTGCCCACAGACAGGGTTAGGGTGACATCCGGGTGAGGTGAACAGGGGCTTAAGGAACAAAGAAACTGTGTGTCACTCAGTTTCCCCCTGCTCAGAGAAAGAGATGAGAAGTAAAGCAATGAGCTCATCTGTGAGATGGTTCCAGTGCAAAGTCTGCTTCAGCTGCTCTCCCAGGACTGTTCTTGTTCTATTTATGTAAGGAAAATTCAGCTTGGGGAGCCCCAAAGAAAGAGGAGACCTAGATCCTAATTCAGTGTTGACAAACCCTTGGCCCTTCTGCCAGGTTGCCCATCACAGAGAATTAAACTGTCAGCAATGACACTTAAAGGACATCTGGCAGCAGGCAGCAGAGCAGGGCTCTGATGCTGGACTGAGGATGGGGCGCAGCTGCAGGAGCAGAAGAGGTCTGGATACTGCCTGTTCCCGCCCGTCCCACAGAGCTCACGGGAGAGCTGGGCCTGGCACAGACCAGCGCCTGTGGCAGATGCAGGGATGGCCAGGGGACACCAGGTTATGGCAGAGAGGACAGTGGTCTGGATGTGCATGCAAAGGCACTATTGCACTTAGGGGCAATAGCACGTGGTATCTTCTAACTCCAGTTTTTCCAGGGGCTGGGGACAGGCTGCTTTAGCTTCTCTGCCTCCACTCCCTGCTAATCAGATGCAGGGATGGCCAGGGGACACTGGCAGATGGCAGAGAGGACAGTGGCGGATGTGCATGCAAAGGCACTATTGCACTTATAGCACGTGGTATCTTCTAACTCCAGTTTTTCCAGGGGCTGGGGACAGGCTGCTTTAGCTTCTCTGCCTCCACTCCCTGCTAATAGGAACATAGATGCAGTGCCTGCCGGGGGCAAACCCCACTCCCATCACAGGAGTGGCATTCACAACTGTGCTGTATAGCACAAGAGCTCACGTTTCACCAGCTGGCATTTACAGGGCTCAACCCTGTCTTTGTAAGACTTTGCAGGGTATGGATTGTGGGGATTCCTGTTTGCAAGGCTGGAAGTCCCAATCCAGCAACTAAAACCTTGTTCAGGACCATGTTTGCAAAATTTTCTGGAGAAGTCAGCCATTAAACCATGGGAAACTGTTGAAAACAGCTAGAAGGCAAGGAGTGTTTTTCCAAGCTCAGGTCTCAGGAGGGGCTTTGTAAGAACAAAGCTTACAGAAACGGCTCGTGCAGTCACGCTGGCTTCAGAGGCTTTGTTCCTGCAATAAGGCTGGTGGTGGGAGAGCGAGCTGTGAGCAGGGAGGGTGAGTTTACTGGGACAAGGCTGAGTCAATCTGCTGGAGAGAGTTCTCCAACGTGCCTGTGCCCCACACCTATGCGAGTACAGAGGTACCCAAGTCCTCACCCAGATTAGCAGCAGCTTGGGTGCCTCTCATCTCCTGCAGACCTAGCCTAGGGGATTTAGGCACTAAGCATCCCCTTCCTCCTCCCCTTCCCTGCAGAGGACCCTGAGGGGGTTGCCAGCGGGGCCGAGGTGCACCTTCTCCCCACGCCGCATGAAGAGCAGCCAAGATCCTGCCAGCCTCGCCCCGTCCTCACCGCTGGCCCTGCGCTAGGGGCTTCCCTCGTGCTCCCAGCTAAGCTGGCAAAACTTTGCAGTAGGCTCCTAAAGCCTCTTGGCTTCCCTGACGGGAAAGCCCCTGTAGAAGCGGAGTTTCGCCGGCCAGGTGCCTGCAGAGGCTCCAGCCCTCAAGCGGGCAGGGGCAGCCAGGTTGTCCTCCCCGCTCCGCCTGTCTGCTGTACCGCACGGACTGTGAGCTGCACTCAGCTGTGCGGTCCTAAGCCAGCTTCTCTCTCCGACAGGGCGAGCTGCCACTCAACGCCATCCAAGTGCTTTTTGAAGAGAATGAGAAAACCTCCTTTTTAATAGAAGGTGCGTATCTGGCATGCCGAGGGGTGTGCTGGCAGCAGCCACGGAGGTCTCTGGGGTCGGGCTGGTTTCGCTAAGCTGCTGTGGCCATCTTCCTGGCTGCGCTCGCTCATGTCGGCACCCAAGCTCTGTGAACTGAACTGCTTGGAAATCTTGGACTGTCTGTGCCCTGGCTGCGGTGCAGGGCCTGGCTTTGCTGGCAGGGAGAGGCTGTGAAGTAGCGGCAGCGCTTGCGCCAGGGCAAGCTTGTCACAGCATGGCTGCACAGGTTCCCTCTCATTTAGATCTGGCCTGTGTTTGCCCCTGTCCTACATTCAGCCAGGCGCAAATGGTCAGCACCGAAGGCAGAGCATTCCCGTTGTCCCTGCACCAGTCTCAGGGTCTCCAGACCCCAGGAGAAGGTGGGGAGGGATGGAGCAAGGGGATTCCCATGGGTTTCTGAAGGAAGCAACGCAGACTGTCGATCAAACCTAGTAACAACAGTGAGTGATGTTTTTACAGGCCGACTAATCAATTCAATCCGGGTGATCTGCCGCAGCTATGATGATTACCAGGAGTGGCTCTACTGTCTCAAAACAGCCCAGTTTCGAAACGCCGACTCCTCCCTCTCTGGATCAGAGAGTTTCTCAGGATCAAAGCTGCCACACCCGGGCCAGGTAACAGATGTTTTGGGCTTGCGTGGTAATCAATAGATGTCTCCCAGGACTCCTGTCTGTCTTATCTCTGGCCACGTGCGAGTATTCTTGTGACACAGCAGGCTGCTTCAAGTCCCCTGCTTGAAGGCTGTCATGAAGTTGCTGATCCCTGCAAATTATTTTGAAGCCCTGTATTACATTATATGGGCATATACTATATTAAATTCCTTCAAAAGGAGACCCCTGGCCATAGGCTGCGACAGTGTTGTGCAGTGAGGCATCGGCACAAGGACATTAACAGGGTCTTGCAAGGAAGGGGAGACCCACCCTGCCAGCACTGCAGCCAGGACGGGGTCAGGGTGCCCGAGCACCCTTCACCCCTCTACAAGCCCTCGTCATTCACCCTTGTCACCCCTGCAAACCGGACTCAGCCACCCGCTCAGCCCTAGAGGGCAGCACACCCCGCCGCACCGGGCACGGCTGCCCCGGGCAGCTGCTCGCCATGCGGGCACAGCCCAGGCCCAGGTCTGGCCCCGGCGTGTGGGCACGGAGGACTGGGCTGGGCTGGCCCAGCGACGCTCAGGCAGGAGATGGGGCTGGGGTGGGATGTGCCTGCAGCCACGCAGAGGGCTGTTCCTATGTGCTGTTCTTCTCTCCCATCTAGTTTGCTGGCAGCGGGAGAGGGTCGCTCACTTCTGATGGCCGTACAAACTCTTGGGCATCGGGAGGGAGAGTGGCCACCTTAACACACCTCTCCCAGAACAGCGGCTCTCTCCCTGATGGACAGTCCTTCGTGCTGATGCCTGAGAGCAGGGTGCTCGAAGACCCCCTCTCCCCTGGCTATTCCCAGCCTCTCCACGTAAGTGAACCCCCCAAAAGCCTGGGATGCATGCGGGGACAGACACTGCCTTTGAGCAGAGCGGTCTATCCAGGTGCCCGGATGGGCTGAGCTCGGGCGGTCAGTGTTTGCTCTGCGGCATAACAAATCCATGCCTGGAGCCTGTATTTGTCCTGGCTCAGCTTTGTCATTGCTGATAAAGGAAAAGTCTGCTGAAGGGTCCCATCCCAATATTCCACTCTGCATAAGGGTTGTTTGTACACATTGCAAAAGGGCAAATGGGACTGTTCAAAGGTCAGGAAATCCCAAAGTAAAAGCCCGTGGGTAGGTGGAGGTGATGGGCTAGGCAGGCCTTTGCTCTGACCCTGTGCAGCATTCGTATGTCCGGGGCTGTGTGCGTGTGCGGGGAGGAGCGCGTGGGGCATGGGCCTGGCCGCAGGACCACGCCGATGCACGAGCGCAGCGCGACGCCCGCAGCAGCAGCCCTAGAAGGGGAGTGCCTTGCGTTGGCTGCAGCTGGGTCTGTGTACCTGGGGCTGGCCTGAGGAGAGCCAGCTCCGGGGTCTGTCTTCTTGTTTCAGTGCCTGGCGCAGGCCAGCTGGCCAAGTACGGGGCTGCCCGCACAGGACCTGCGGAGGGGGGGCAGCGCCAGAAAGTCCAAGGGCAAATGTGGGCCTTGTGGCCAGCAGCTGCCCAGCCAGGACACGGAGAGGACCATCTGCAGCCTCATTCCTGAAAACCCCAACGGCGAGCTCCTGTCCTCGGTGTACAACGAGCCATACTCCGCACACAGCTCGCAGCATCACCCTGCAGCTCCCCCGCCACACCTGGACCTGAGCAACGTAAGGGGGCTGGGACGCAGTGGGGCTGCCCTCCTGCCTGGGAAGGGTCGAGCAGCAGAGGAACTGGTGCACGGTTCGCGTTTTCCTTACAGTGCTACTTGCAGGAATAGCTGTCCTGGCAGGTGCTCTAGGGCAGGCACGAAACCCGTTTCCATTTGAAAATGGCCCATGGGAGGTGAGGTTAAACACAGCAAATGGAGCAACATCTCTTGGAGCTCTGAGATGCTGGGCACTAATTCCTGAGGCAACACGAGCGCCAGTGCTCTGCAAGTAGGAGTGTTGTTATTTCATAGGACACAGCCTCTTCTTCCGAGGGCTTTCCAGCATGTGTCCATCACTGGTTTAGTGTGTGATGCCACGTTTCCCTCCCCTCAGCCTCAATGAGTGTGCATCTGCCTTGCGCCCAGGGAAGTCCCCTTGTTAGCACAGACAGCTACAGTCGGGAGTCAGCCCTCACGGCTGAGCAGCATTTGGGACTTGAATTGCAGGGAGATTCCCCGCTCCGATCCCTCCTGGGGATGAATTGCAAGTAGGGAACAGCTTGTCATGTTCCTGTTTCAATTCTGCCTTTTAGCTGAACAGATGGAGCTTGGTGGGAAGTCAGCCCTCGACAGCTTCCAGCTCCCTGGAGAAGCCGACCATGCCCCGCTCCCCCTTGTACGCTGACCCCTATATGCCCAGCTCCCCCAGCGCTCGCAGCGTGGCAGGCTCCAGCTTCCTGGAAGAGGTACCCTGCGCGTTTGCTGCTGGTTACGGCCCTGACTCAGCACACAGGCTTTTGGCTCCAGAAATCATGCCTCGGGCCATTTCTTTTCCTGCTGTCTGCCCGAGCCTGAGCGGGATGTGGAAACGCCAGGCCTGCATTTCGGGGTGGGGCAGGGCACAGCATAGTTCTCTGTTTTTTCAAGCCAGGACAGAGTCAGAGGGGAACAGGTTTCCCCTGTCTTATCACTGGATGCCAGCATCACAACAATCCCAGGAAGAGCCAGAAACCGCAAAACAGAGACTCAGATGTGATCCAGTCTACAGAAACTGGAGATGAGTCAGACACAGAGACCACTTTATCCACCCCCAAAAATTCCAGCTGTGATAACTGAGTGCCTATTAAAGGCTACATTTCTAGTTTTGCACATCTCTTGGGAAGAGACTATTTCTGAGTCTGTGGCTGGCATCCCCCGTACTGCTGAAGTCTTCCCTTCCCTTGGAGGGTTCTTCCTGACTGCTCTCTGTCCTTCCTCGTCCCCTGAGCTGCCAGTGGGTTTCATCCTACTACCTTCACATCTGGCCAACTTCCACTACCTTTGTGGGTCATTGCGAGGGACCCGCAGCCATTCTTCCTTTCCCATCTAAGGCCTTCAGGATTGGAATGTAGTAGAATTTGCAAGGCAAGCAGAAAACCTTGGTTTGCCCTAAGTTCATAGCAGGGCTAGCTTACAGGTGGGAAGCAGCCAGTCAGTGTTCCCAAACTCTCCATTGCAGGTATCAAATCTAGAGTTTGTTTTGGTTAAGTTCCTGCAGTGTCACGGACAGACAGGTTCAGCACAGGCGAACGGATGCCCAGCCCTCCCGGTATCCCAGCATCTCTCTCTGCAGAAGAGGAATTGCCAGCCCCTGCCCAGCAGTCACTGCAGAGAGGTGCCTGCGGCTCCGAGTTACAGCACCCCTGGCACCTCATGCCGTCTCCAGCTGCGGCCTCCTCCTGATGCTTCTTATCTTGAAGATGTGAGTTTGTAAATGCAGTCCTCGTGCCCCACACTGTGCAGGCTGCAGGGGAATACATAGGGTTGCAGGGGTCCCAGCTTGCCTTTCTCTGGGCTGGAAGAGTGGTCAGTCACTGCAGGGCTCTGAGCCCTTTGCTCTGTGACGGGGTGCATCTTGAGGAGCAGGGATGGGGGAACCAACAGAGGACTGATTCCTGGTGTGTGGTATCCCAGGACTGCAGTGCTAAGTCACCCTCATCAGTGCGTCTCTTTCTTTTCAGGTCTCTTCTCTGCGAGAGGAACATCTGGGCCCTTCATTGCAGCCACCAGGTGAGACTCGTAGAAGGCTGCTTGGGTGCTGCAGCCCACCCTGCCTCTCCAGTGTCTGTCTCCATAAGCGTCATTCAAAGCAAGGCTGAGAGGGAGCATGGGGACTCATGCGTGCCCTTCCTCCTGCTTCCCCATGGTGGGACTGAGTCTGTCACCCTGCCCCTTGCCTGTGTCTGTCTGGTGGAGGCCATTGCCTTGGCTTCCACTGACTGCCCACCAGCTCTGGCCACCCATCACACGTGAGGGCTTGTGGTTTGTTCTGTGGCACACTTGCAGCTTCCGCTGCTTTGCCCAGATCTAGTTGCTCCTGGGCTGCGATTTTGCTGACCCTCGTGCGTTCTCTCTGCTGACGAAGGAGAAGGCAGCCGCTGGGTTGCTCATGAGCTCTCTGAGCGCTTTGGTCTGTTTTTCTGCAGATGGGAATTTTGGCACTTACGACCTGCCAGAGGCCAGCTGCCCACACCGCGACTCCGCAGCCTACCACGACTATGCTGAGCTCCAGAGCTTCCAGAGCGACTTCAGCTATGACAACCTGTGGGAAGCCGAGGCGAAGGAGCCGGGCACCCCGCACGCCTCCCCGGCTCCCGGCCAGCAGTTTTACCAGGCCTGAGGGAAGGCCTCCAGAGCCAGGCACAGAAAAGCCCCCGGGCTCTTTTCTTACTGGGCTTCCCTCCAGGGTGAGGAGCCTGGGGCGTACAAAGCAAAGGGAAGGGCCCTGCTCTGCAAAAGGCTGGCTCTCATGTCCTGGCAGGTCCAGAGTTCAAACTTCTCCCCTAAATCTGAGGATGGGAGTAAAGCACAAAAGTGACAGCCTCTGCGGATCCGGAGGAGCAGCGTGTGTGCCGTGCCAAGGAGCACGCTCTGCGTCTGCCCTAGCTCAGGGAGCCCTGGCTAGGGAACAGCATTGCCCCCCTGAAAATAAAAGGAAGAACAAAAAGCTGGTCAGGCTCCCTCAGATAAAAGGTGTTCAGATGGAGCAGTCACTCAAAGGGGCCAAAGAAAAGGGCTGGGTTGTTTGGCTGGGTTAGTTTGATCATTTTCCTTTTTACCAGAGCCCTCAGGCTGGTCACTTTGAGGATCCACTGATCCCTGAGAACAGCTGTTAAGCCAAACCTTCCCCCCATTGAGCTCTGAAGTCTGCAAAGATGCATGAGACATGCCCCATTGTGGTATATAAGGTTGGTAGCAATAGCTGTGCTCATAGGATTGTCTTCCTGCAAGATCAGAGTTACCTGACAGAGATGGAGGAAAAAATCCAGATCTGGGCAGAACTTTATGCAAAAAATTCTTTCCTGCCAGTGCTGGCTCCAAACCATGGTGGTGACCTGCAATATTATGAGCCTGATACCTCGGCAGATGGAATCAAGAAATGTGCTTCCAGCAAATATGCCAAGTGGCTTGTGTTTACCAAGGTCTTCCCTGGAAAGGATGCCCTAGATTCCTCTTAGGGGACCGCGTCCTTTCCTCCCACCCCTCTGCACATTTCTGGACTTGCACTAAATGCTGCCTATGAATATCTAAGCAGGAAGGGAAGGAAAATTCACTGCAAGCCAAACTCCAGTACAGCCACAACACTCCAGTGATCAGAGCAATGCCAGTGTGGGCTGCAACCTCTCTCTTCCCCCCTCCAGAGCAGCAGCGAGACCAGGACACAAACAACAGGGGACAGAGTCTCAGTGCTATCGTTTTCCAGCCTCTTAGGCCAGATCCAGGTCAGCAGCAAATCCAAATGTTTTTACCTGGGGCTCTAAATTCTTAACCTTTGTTCCCTAAAGAGGCTGCAAACCAAACATATTAACAAAATCTCTATTTTTGTTCTTTCACAAAACAGTCCAGGAGCTCTTTGTACTTGAATATCTATGTATTACATTGTACTTTTTTTTTTTTTCTGAAGGTATCCAACAAAGTTTACATGCAAGGTTTGAGTGGATTATATGTATTTAACGTGTAAATGTGACAAAGTTGAAGATCTATTTAATTTTCTAGCTGTGGATGGCGTTCAGTACTGTAGAATGGGCAGCTGTCTGCACATTTGTGTGTGTGTTGGTTTGGGTCTTCTAGCTGTTATTGTTTTGTTTCAGGTTTACTTTCATTTTGGGAAGATTTGTATCTAATAACTTAACCCCAAAAGGATCTATTTATTCAGAACAAAGTTGCACTAGGGAACATCAGAAGCACATAGTACGCTGGGAGGCAGCCATGCTCATGAGCTCCTATGAACACATTGACTTTGAAGATGGTCACCATGATCTTTTTAATTGGGTTTCAACAGTGATATCTGCAATGTATCAAAAGGGAAAAGCCCCTCCCTATTGCTGTAAAAGTTCCCTGGTGGATTTCTGTGAGACTGGACAATTGCAATACACATTCTTCTGGAATACTTTTCTTCTCTTTTTCTTTGCCATCATCTGGTTTGATGGAGGCGAATTTTTGTCCGTTGCTGCTGTCCTTTCCAAAGCCCTTCCTCCCTTGAGAGCTTTGGGTCCCTGGGTCCAGGAGGATTTCCAGAGTGCTGACTGTCTCTTGTTCGGGTCAGGCACTTGTAAACACCTAATCCTAGAGCAAAGTCTCCCCTGCATTTGTCCGGCAACGAGATCTGGCTAGAGGTTTAATGCCAAAGCTAATCAGACTTTGCTTCAGCCCTGTGTTCTGGGGGTCTTGGAAAGGTGCTCTGTAAAAATCAGTTGGTGACTCCAAATGGCTCCGTGCACTTGTGCAGCTGGGAATGCCCGTGCCGTGCTGTGGCTCGGGATGGTCTGTGCTGTCTGCTCTCTAGCCTGGGGGAAACCTGGGTGAACTGAGTGGGACGCACTGGCCAGCCCCAGCGCTAGGGTCAGATACGGAGCTGAGCCCTCCGTGGGCTGCCAGATGGTGCAGGGTTTGGCTCTGCCTTTTCCCTTTTGTCAGTCTGACCTCGCTTCATGGCAGCCGCTTTCTACAAAGCTGGTTGGGAAGGGGAGCTGGCCACAGCAGGGGCTTGCTTGGCAAGGAAATACCATCCTGAGGACTGCATCCAGATGCCTGTAGGCCACTTCTGTCCCTGCATCTGCTCTGGGCAGAAAACCAGGTGTCCTGGCTGCCTCTGCAGAGTTACTCTGCAGAGAAGACCAGTGAGGAACTGGATATGGCCCTCAGTTTAAAATTCAGTGATCTCTTAGGGCTGGGAGCAGCAGGGCAGGCAGAGGGCTTGCCCTCCCAAGCACACTGCTCTGTGCAAGTCAGCAACCCACAGCAGCGGCTGCTGGAAGGTGCTAACACTTGGAAAGCTGGCAGGTGTTTGTGCTGCAGCCAGAAGTGCTCAAGAAACTGAATAACCAGGCAAGAGGTAGATGTGTTGGCCGCAGAAGCCTGGTGTATCTGTCCCCCGGTGAGCAGCTCTCCCAAGCTGCCATGTGCAGTCACATTGATCGGTGACAGCGACATGCGCCTGCACAGGGCCACCAGTAGCAAGGTGCGAGATCCTGGTTTCAAAACGCTGCAGAGACATGACCCAGCTTCTAAAGCAATTTTAGTCCTGCTCCCAGAATGGCAACTTTCCTCCCCGGCTACATCTGGGCTAAATTTGTCACTCTTTCAAATGCTGCCCTTTCAACATGCAGGCCGCTCATTTCTCATGCTTTCCAGCACGCTTTTGTGCGCAGCTGCCGTGGTCTGTTTGGCTCTTATTTCAGGTCCTGAACTCCATCTCTCTGTTCGTGCGTCTGTGCCTGAGTTATTGCCTTGTTCCTGCCATACTTCTGGGGCAGAGTGTAGCTACTTCCAGCTGCTGCCCGGCGCAGAACATAGCGTTTCGGGATGAAATGTGAGCATGCCCTTAGCAAACGGGCACCGTCAGGGGCTTGCACCAAGAGAGAGCGGGGTTGTGGGTGTACACAGGACCTGAGTATCCCATCCCTGAGTGCTGCTGTCCAGTTGACCACTAAGGCCTGCTGCCTGCTCTTTCTTCACAGCTACCCCGTAGCAATTAAGGATTGTGATAACAAACTGCCGCTGAAATGGCAGCCCCTGCCTTCTGAAACCATAGCTGGAAAAACCAGAGAAGTATTGAAACACCACGGGCTGCTGTATTTCTCTCTGCTTTCTGATTTCCAAGGCACAATTTCAAACTTCTTTTGCTCCAAGAATAAACAGCAGAGAGGTGCTTTTAAAAAAGAAAGTAGAGCCTGTGACCTGCTCGTTTGGCTTCAGGAGTTTGGAGAAAAAGCCCCCGTAACTGAAGGCACGGTGTAGCTGCAGCAGAGCAGCCCACCCGGCCAGCTCCCGCTCCTTCACTGTGCGTGGACTTGCCGATCTTTTTATTGTATTTACAAAGACACTCGAGGTTTGGGAATTCCTTGGTGAGCACTTTGTATGAACGTGTCTCTTCCTGCCGGCTGCCTGCGAGCGGCTCCCTGAAACCACGGCTGATGTCGGGGAAGGACCCGCTGGGCAAATCTGCTCCCTGTTCCTGCTCGGAAAACCCAGCGCCTCCCTTGCAGAGGCCCTGAGGAGTTGAGGATGTGCAGGATTTGCTCTAGTCTGTGATGAGCAACTCCCTCACTGCCCTGTGGGTGGGGGAATCCACCAAAATATGTCATGCTCTCACGGCTGGCCGACCGACTGAAGCAACTGGCATTTCTGTCAGTCCTAGATGAGAGGGAGGTCACTGCTCCGTCTCCTCTGCCCGCTGCCTCCCTGTGCTGGCACTCCCGGGTCTGGCACGGTACCACGAGCCCTCAGAAATCTCTCTGAAGTGCGGGGAGAAGACAGTCATGACGCAGACATGGCCTAGCAGAAATGTCCACGGGAAGCTTTGCTCTGGTTTTGTTACAGAGAGAGGAAGCAAAAATAAGAGCGAAGGAGCTGCTCTGGCAAAACCGATCGCTGCAGAAGAGGCGGGAGAGACGCAGCCCTCTTGCAGGCCGGGACTCCGGCAGCCGGGTGGCACATGGCGTCTCAAGGCAAGACAGTCATGACGCAGACATGGCCTAGCAGAAATGTCCACGGGAAGCTTTGCTCTGGTTTTGTTACAGAGAGAGGAAGCAAAAATAAGAGCGAAGGAGCTGCTCTGGCAAAACCGATCGCTGCAGAAGAGGCGGGAGAGACGCAGCCCTCTTGCAGGCCGGGACTCCGGCAGCCGGGTGGCACATGGCGTCTCAAGGCCAGATGAAATACGGAGGCGGGTTTTGGGGGGTCCCCTGCCCGGTTTTTATATGTGAGGGTGCACCTGCCTGACTTTTTCATCTGCTTGGCAAGACGAGGTGTCAGATGTGGGAGCTACGTGCAAGGCAAGGAAGCGGGGTGGGATGGCACAGCTCCCACCTCCAGCACTGACACTCTCGTTGGTGAAGGGAAAACAGTCTCATGGCAGCAAAGATGCACTGAAAAGGTCGTTTCTATTGTGGTGGCTGCTGCTATTGCAAAAGACGGTGAGCTGCTGGCTCCTCCCTCCGGGGTGAGATACAGGCAAGATGACCTCGCCATGGAGGGAGAGGAGAGAGCTTAAAAGGTCGGAGAATAAACCAAGCATTAAAATTGCAGGCAAGTCCAGGCTGGTTTCCTTGAAGGACACTAGAGACACTGCTGCTTGACTGAGCACAGTAGACACTCCCGGAGCTGATCTCCCGATACCAACACGATCTTTCAATATTTCCTTTCGCTTCTGCAGTGGGCTGAAAACATCTATCTTCTGAAATATTTATCTCATCCACTTCTTCCCGTAGAGATCAAAAGGAGCGTGAAATGCACCTGTAACCTGATGGAGCATCTGGTACCTTCGGTAACTTTTAGCAGGGGGAGGTGCCCAAGCTCTAAAGGATCAGACACCAATTACCACAGATAGGCAAAGGGCACTCACTGGTAGAGGTGACAGGCACCTCGTGTTACCTACAGCATAACAGGAGTACTGAACTCTCCTGGGAAGAAACTTAGCACGAGTATTTGAACACTAGGATAGAGGCATTGAGAGAGTGAGATATACCCCATGTCCCTCGGAGTGGGAAAACAGGTGCTCGGTGCCACCGTGCCTTTCCCAGCTCGAGCGGGTCAGGGACAGCCAGGAGGCTACTTGTCCCACCCCGAGTGCAGCGTTTTAGCTGCACATGGCTCACCTATGGCCTGGGACACTGGGAGTGCAGAGCATTAACTACCATTCCCGCTTCTTGCAACATCTAGGTCTGATTCCTTTCTGGATCGTATCTGGTATTACTGCTTGCACCCAAAACACTCCTAAACTAGTTGTCTGCCCAGCAGCTTTCCTGCAGCCTCCTGTCAGTGCCGCGCCTGCCCTGTACAGTTCAGGAAAACTGATGGTAGCCTCCGACTGTAGCCTGACTGTCCACAAGCAGCAGAACAAGTCGGCTTCCTGCAAAACCCATGCACAGAGCCTTCAAGCAATGGCGGCAGGAGAGGACACACAAGTCTTTTCCCAGCAACAATTTAGCAGCTATACATTCAGGGTGAAGTTCTCCAGCCCAGCCTCAGCTGACTGAGCTTCCTCATTCCTTTCAAGGTGCCCAAGCAGTGAGCTGAACTGGCAGCACCCCCCTTGCAGCAAACATCTGCAGCTTTGGCTTGTGGGGAGCAGCTGAGAACAAAAGTGCTTCCCCAGGGAAGATGAGGTCCCCAAAGCAAGGGCATTGCTTAGAAAAGATCCGGCTGACACGGGTACATGCAGACTCCCCACATCCCAGCACAGAGCCTTGCCCCATCCAAACCTCCCTGGAGGGCCTAATGTCATCAAAAGTGTCTTCAACATTATGGTTTCTGGCCAGAAGCCCTCCCAGTTCCAGTGAGATCTTCAGGCCAACTTTGCAATCCCTGAGACATTGAGACAAACCAGAACAGCTTTCCCAACCATTTTGCTCAGTATTAAATTCAGTGACTTTTAGCACAATCGTTTATTAACTGCCAGCACTCCACCTGGGAGTACGGTACATGGCTGGGAGGGAAATTAACTGTTCCTGCACCTGCAAAGTGAAGGGAAAACATTACTTCCTCCAGATTTGTGTGGTAAGGCTAGAAAACACAAAAATCTGAAAAATTCAAACCAAGCAAGAAGTCAGCAGTGACCGTTCAGGATTTAGCCATGTCCCTTACCCTGGGGACTTCGCTCTGCATGAGGAACTAGGCAGGAAGAGCCAGAGCCCCCTGAGACAGGAGCTGGCAGTCCCAGAGACCCCTTCCTTTCAGCAAACCTGTCTGCTGCCCTCCTCTGACCTTCTTCTGCTTTGCCTAGCTCCGCGTGAGTCTCCCAGGAAAGCCCCGCATAATGAAATTGCCTGATTCCTCCAGCTGTTCCCCCATTACCCACCCGCCATGCCAAGGCTGCTGTATTTCCACCTGCCGCTGAGAACGCGGAGAGCGCTTAATGGATTATGGCTGGATAAACAGTAACACTGAGCATATGCGAACACTGCGGCCTCCCCTGTGCCTGCCGTGCTCCTGCTCACTGGAGGGAGCGAGGTCTGCTGGGCAAATCTTTCAGGGCCTGAGGCCGCAGTGCCGGGCGTTCCTGGACGCAGCTCAGACTGGAGAGCCTGGCTGCATTGAGGGGGACTGGGGAGGGCAGAGGCGATGAGGATCGATGGACCGAACCCGGGAGCTGCCGCTGTGTATTGACTTGTGCTCACTGATCTGCGCAGGGACCCCAGGAGGAGCTGGCTGAAGGGGGGCTGCTCGAGTCCTGAGTGCTTCTGAGACAGGAGAGAGGACAGGGCCCTCTGGATCAGGCTGTAAGCGACATGCGACATGCGACAGCCAAGATGTGTCTCAGAGGGGTAGGCATGGGGACTGAGCCAAAGAAGAGGAGAAGCAGCCCACCTCCCTGCATACTCTGTCCTCCAGGGCTCCTCAACCAGCACATCAACTCCTACATTTTTGTATCAACAGACACATAATGGTTTGATTTCTCATTCTTTAAAACTCAGTACTCATTCAACAGTTTCACACACAAACAATGTAGACACAGGAATGTACACAGAAGTATTAAATGAGATAGATCTTTATTAGAAGCTTCCAGCATATTTTATCTGTTCTCCTCCTCCACAAAACTCCTCTTACTGGATACACAGCTACTATAGTCCATATAGAGCCTGTACATCTCTATCTCTCTCTTTACTGCTACATATCTCACTGTACAATTGTACAGTGTGCTCTCTTATCAGCAATAATACATGGTCTTCAGTACAATCCTACACACATTAAAATTGCATGGCACTCTGCATTACAAGGAAAGAGCTAAACCTCTCCTCTCTGGTTTCGTAAGACAAACATTGCCACAGACCGTTCCTATAAAGCTCATAGGCAGATCCGCACAGGTATTCTGGGCAGATTTCCCCCAGTACCTTTGTGGACCTGGTCCCTAAGTACTTAACAAATCTCACATTCATGCTGTTATCAGACTTGGGAGTGAAGAAAAACTGTCATGAATAATGCCCTTGAGTGATCAGGAAGGCACTAGAGACAGGGAAGAAACCAAACCACTTCCTTTTCATTTTTCCCCCCATCTTCTGTTCTGGGTCTTCTCCAGCCCTCTCCAGCCCCACAAGGTTACACACTCAGCCACAGCACCTCCTCACCCGACATCTCCTCCCCGCCAACTTTATGTCCCTAGGATGGGAGGCAGCGGAGGGACCAAGTGATATATCTAGACCCTTCACCTGGTGATTGTCAGAGCCAAACATGTATATGTGCCTTTTCCTCCTCTCCAACATGCTCCTGTCCTCGTCAGGGCTCTTTCCTGAGGCTTCCCTGAGCTCAGCCCCTTTCCCTGCTGCCCCTGCAGCCCCTTTCCATCCTGTGCAGCCTCCTGCAGGGCCCTTCCCGGCTGCCCCTTCCTCTGGCTCTGGCTGCGTGACACCTGCCCTTCCTCTGCTTACGGGGGTGAGGTGTGTCCTTGCAGTGCTCACTCAGGTGCTCCTCACCTGCAGGGACAGACACCGCAGCTGCAGCTCTGGCTCAGCAGGGCTGAGGCAGCCACATGCAACAGAAACACTGTCTCAGCCTCCTGAACTGTTAGACTGAGCCGTGACTTCTTGGAGTGAAATCCAAGAGGATGAGTCCTCCTGCGGTGAGCCAAACCAGCCATGGGAGACCTGGGTCTTGCCAAACGAGTGGCCCCTCCATCCCTCTTTAGCTGCTGCCCAGCTAGCCGTGCGCAGCCAGCACATGCTTAGCAAAGCACCATGTTTGGACAGAGACAGCTTTTCCCCAAAGCCCCCTCCTCTCTCCCTTCACAGATACCCCAATTCTTTCATAGGAACGAAGCACTTCCCTGGTTTCTTCTGCTCTCTCCTCCCTCCACTACCTCAGTGCCTTCCTTTGCCACCACGTGACTTCAGCAGGGAGGACGGACAAGCAGCGCCCTGGAACAGACACTGTGACTACTCCTAGGAGATAGCACAAGTATGCAAGAAGTGTACAAAGAAAGAACAGACCCAGCCCACGCTGGGCTCCTATCCTGTCCCGTACAGGTACAAACTGCCTACCGTATTGTAAGTGACTATCACCGGAAGGATCCTGCTTCCTGTGACGTCCTGTCCCGTTTAGGGATGGGTCCAGAGAAGTCTTGGTGCTGGGATCCAGGCTTCTCACACTGCCCAGGAACAAAATCCCCAGCCTCTGCCTCCACCATCCTCGCCTGTCCTCAGGAAGCACCTCTGGTGTGCGCTGAGCCTAGGTCCGGGGGTGTCCTTCTCTGACCTGCCTTCGGAAGTAGCGGATGGCAGAAAGCGTGCCAAAACTTGCCAGGAACACTGGAAAAGAGCCCAACACATTTCCAGAGTGAGTCTGGGTGCTTCTTCCAGACCTGAAGATCTTTTTCCAAACTTGAAGATCACAAGCTACTTGGCTCACTCTGGTCCATGGGACCTAGGGGGGTCGCTCCCCTCCCTCTCTCAGACCCCTTCTGCCTTCGCTCTTCATCCCCACCACACTGTGCTTGTTCCCAGTGCGTTCAGTCCTGAGCTGCCCACAGCCTGGCCGACCACATCTAGTCCTATAGTTTGGGTGCAAGGATCACACCACCATTTCACAAGAAACGTCTGTTTTTAAGGGAAACACAACATAGACTTCATGCGTGTGGTAGAGATGGGTGGTGGTTAGATATACAGGTTCATGTGGAGATCTAATGGGTCTAATCTCGGATGAGAAGGCCACAGTAGGAAATCTCACCAGGGCTTCAGGACAGTCCCTTCATTTTCTACTTCTGTTTGGACCAGGAAGATGCCAAGAAAAATATCATTTTGTGGGTTATCTGTGGATACTCTGATCCCAGCCAAAAGCAGAAAATACCCAAACCCCAGAATCAGAAAACATAGAGATACAAAAAATAACTAATCGAGATTACACAGAGAATCAAGCTCTTCTCTGTACTTTCAGCTAATGTTTTTAGCTTGTCTTATAAGAGAGGTAAAATTCCCCTGATCTGTTCCCAGGCAAAACTGGGAACCCAAGCCATGCCTTTGGACTTCCCAGTTTAAATTCAGACTTGATTTTGATTCACATGTTAGAGCCTGGGACATAGACAGGGAAATTCAACTTGTTAGAACCTAAAATGCCGAAAGAGAATTGCTAGTCCAGGATGTCAAACTCTCTCTTGCCTCCCCTCCTCGCCGGGGTGCTTACTGCACGCTGGGTTATGCAATCCTGAGGGCACGAGGCCCATACCCCGCTTTTCGCACCCTCTCTGAGGCCACATCCACCATCTAATACTAAGAAGGCAAGGAGGAGCAGGCCAAAAGCTCCTTGTGATGACTGCGCTGAGCAACTTTAGCTAATGAGCTATTCTCAGCCCGGGGTGTCAGCTTCCTGTGTGACCTTAGTGGGGAACATTCCTCCCCCGGACAAGCAGCAAGAAGCCCTGGCCCCGGCGTCTCGCCCCGTGGCGGGGGCTCTCCGGTGCCCAGGGGCTGGACCCCGCGCTCAGCTGCTGCAGCCAGGGCAGGGCTGCCGCACTGGCTGTCCCGTGCCCTGCTCATCCAGCGACCCGTACCCCTTGGGCCACAGCTCAGCTAATTCGTGCTGCCCGAGCTTCCTCTCTCCCCACCAGTTATTCAAATGCTGTGGTTGGAGAGGAGAGGAACCAACAGAGCTCCGTTTACTCGCAGGACTCAGTGCACCAGGATAATACTTCAGCTATTTAGAAAAAAGATTATACCTTTACAGCACGTTAGAAAAATATGTGCATTTGTTCTAGCTGAGATGACGAGTATAAACCTGCATACTCGAGGTCCTGATTCAGGTTCTAGCCAGCACGGATCCTAAAGAAACCTCTCTTCCCCTGACACACTGGTACTGGTCCCTGTCAGAGGCTGGATGGATCAGGGCCAAAGCTAGGAATACAGACTTGTCCTATGGCTCAGTTCAGGTCAGCAGTCACTTTGTGTGGGGAAAGAACAACATAAGTGAGTAGGAATCAGGACTGCCATTTCTATAGGAGAGAGAAGGTATTAGAAAGTAACAGGACACTTTGGAAAAGCAGGCAAATGACTGCATTTTCCCATAGGCACTGTTAGGTGTGTTAGCATCCCTGCCTTTCTCCCTGCCACATCTTCCACAAGGTCCTTCCCACCCCTCTCCCGCCAGGCTGGGCACCATACGTACTGGTCTTCCAGGCATCCGGAGCCTGCAGGTCAGAGGTCTTCACTGCCCAGGATGCAAAGGCACAGAAGACGAGGCACATGTCTTTGTGGGTCAGCGCCAGCGGAGCCTCAGGCCTCCCTGCGAGAAGAAGAGCATGAGGCTTGGGGTTTTACGACGCCTCCTCTGCCACAGCAGGCTCCAGTCCCTTTGGGGCAGTGAGCCCCTTGCACTCCCAGAGAAATACATCTTTGTCACACATTTTTCCTCCCAGAAGACCTTTTTTCACCACTGGCCAAGTCAAACATGTCTAATTAGGACTCAGGTACGTTTCCTAAGGAGAGGGGCACATTTTTCACCCCCTCAGTTTTACACTTTGTTAAGAGCCCAAGGCAAATATTTGTTAATGCTACCCATGGGCCTGGGAGGCACAGCCAGCAGACGTGCCACCTCCAGGACCTCCGACTGCCTCACCACCTCCCTGCATTTCTTCCTAGTGCACCCCTGTGGGGTGGCTGGAAGCGGGGAGTAGATTTAGGAGAGAGCAATTCCTGGGCTGGCTCCTGGGCGATGCACTGGGACTGCAGGCAGGCCCCTCTGGGCAGGGTCGCCTTCCTGCAAGACAATGCCCCGAGACGCACGCAGCTCTAGTACAATGCATAGCCCCCTGAGAAGCACCAGCGCTCAGCATCTCTCCACAGATCCCACCTCATTCCCGCTGCCTGCTAGGACCAGGGAGGGAGACAGCCCTGAGCGCTCTGCATTTCGTTCTCTGCTGGAGTTCCAGTCTAGCATAACTTGAAGACATGTTGCAAGAGTAGGTTATTTTTGCTCCTATGTTTATCTGATCAGGCTTTTAATTAAAGCCGGCTTATTAATTAGCTATGACCATGGCAAACGGTTTTTTCCTCTGTGCAAACAGACTGGAAGCTCTATTTTGAGGCACCCTTTGGGATGACTCATTCATTGTTTGATTTTAATATTAACTGTGAGGCACCGTGGCTGTAAGCATCATACGAGCTTTAAGATAAATATGCTGGCTGTCCTAGTGGGTCAGACTTGCCCTCCCTTTATTCCTGCTTCTCTTACCTGCCTCCAGTAACAGTTAATGTTCAGGTAACCTCTGAGGTCTCTGGAAGGTGTTTTCAAATTAGGGTGTGTTTTAAAGTCCCCCTCATCTCTTTCAGCTGGAAGCCTTGAACATGTTCCACTCTGTGCACACCTTTTCCCCCACCAATATTAGATCGATTAGCAGCCCAGCCTTAACGGGACAGCAGCTCAGCAGCCATTGCCTTATCTCAGGGGCATGAGTTCTTCAGTACAGAAGGATTCTGCTGCTTTGCCTCCCATTCCCTCATCAGAAATACAGGTATGTGGTTCTGCAGGCAGTTGGATGACACTGGGATGGGGGATTCCTATCTCTACCAGACCTTGCAGCCATGTTTAACGCAGCTATCCACTTCAGTAAGTTTTTCTTGGCCAGAGTGCAAAAGAATAGATTAGATCCACAGTAAGTTATATCTATTCAGGGGGACAACTGAATCACCCAGGACAGGGACTTGGGGCCAGACTGAGTTTCAGCCTGTTGCATGCACGCTATCATGACCACCTTTGCCCCAGGACTGGAGTTTGCAGGGAGCAAAGCAAGTTATGCCCAGAATATACCCAGATCCCTGTCCATGCCTCCTGCAGCACCGGGAGCCAGCCTGTGGGGCCTGGCCAGCAGCACTCGCTTGGCATAGGGACAGCGTGAGCATCACAAGAGAGAACCAATGCGACACAGCATGTCATGGTGGTGGCTTTAGCCACGCTTCCAAAGATCCCTGCTAAAGCCCAGGGCTGCTGTGTGGCAAGGTAACGTGCCAGGAGTGTGATTTCAGACCAGCTACACCTGGCAGAGCCCACCAAAATGCTCCCATCTGTACGGTGGCCTTAATGCCGCTGCGGCTGGAGTGGAGATGGCTGCAGCAGGGCCCGAGCTGGCTGCCAGGCTTCCCAAGGGGTGGTGGGAGCAGGGGAGACCACACAAGGCAGAGGCACATCTCTACGCGCGGCGGCGAGCGGGGGCTGTCGGGCAACGGGCAGGGGGTAACAGTGCTTTACCTGTCAGCGCAAGGGCCATGTCCAAACCTTCTGGCCGCGCCTGGCCTCTTCCCAGCGGAGCCAGCGGGACGAGGGGGAGCTTCTCTCCGGATCCTCTCCGCACGAGAGCCTGGGGGCCTGGGGCTTGGCCTCTGATGAGATGCATTGGCCTTTGCAGAAGGGACTTCAAAGCCCCCACAGCTTTCTTCACCTCAGAGGCTGGAGTGATTGAGAAAATCCCTGTCCAGCCCACCCTGTTCCCAGGCCTGTCTGGAAAGAAGTGTTCATACACCTCAGGGACCGAAATAACCAGGGAGTCTTTGACTGAAGCCGAGTCGGGATCCTCATTTTGCAGCGGAGCGTGGTCCAAGCTGCTGAACTTCTTTCGCTTCCTGTCTTTACCCTTGACTTTTTTCCTGTTTCCTTCTGGTTCATTGAAAAAATATTCATACAGTTCAGGCAAGGATATTTCCCTTTCCAAGGGTGTTTTCTCTCCTTCCATTGAGTTCCCCATTCCTTCTTCTTCCCCTTGGGAGTCACAGAACAAATAGTCGTACATCTCGGGCCAAGTCACGTCTAGGGTGTCTGCCCTTGCAGAGGCCTCGGCTGCAAAGCAAGGGGGGCCCAGCTCCCTGGGGGTCTCAGCTGGAGGCTCCCCATGAGCTCCCTCAGCAGCAGCCCCTCCAGAAGCTGCCACGCTCTTGGGATGGAGAGGCTTCCCCAGTGCCTCCTGGCATGCCGCGCCTGGAGGAGCCACGGCTCCGCTGGCAGGGATCACCGGCACATTGTCACATATGCCCAAGCCACCAGCCTGCCCTGGCTTTGAATGCTTGGTGGCCTTTGCCTTCCCCAGGGGCTGTGTCCCTGGCTCCTTCACCTTCTGCTTCGGGGGAGTGCTCACGGCTGGATCGCTCTCATCCGTGCCAGGGCCGGGCACCAGCCGTTTGCTCTCCGCTGCTTCCTCGCTCCCCAGCTTCACAGGAGCTGGCTTGGCTGCCTTCTCCTTCCCTTTGCTCTTTCGTGAGGACAATGGTGAACTTAAACGTGCCTTCACGAGTACGCCAGTCCCCTGTGCTGCAGCCCCCACAGGCTCCCTGTCCCCCTGGGCTGCCTCGGTGGCACTGGCTCCACGTTGCTTGCGGCTCCTTCTCAGCTGCCCTGGCACCTTGGGCCTCACAACGTCTGAGGAGCCAGCCGGGGAGCTTGGCTCAGCAACCACTCTCTCCCCTCTCGCCTCCTCTCGTGCCGGGCAGCCAGGTGCTCTGGGCGCAGACTCCAGGACTGGGCTCGGGGGGTGGTCACGCGGGGGTCCCTGTAGCCTGGGCTCTGAGCGGGAAGCGCTGCTAGGACTCTTCCTTGCCGAACCCTCTGGGGAAGCAGCCAGTGCTGATGAGCTGTCCTGCACCGGAGCCCCCGGCTGTGCCGCCACTGGGCTGCCGGGGCTGTTCTGGCTCCACGTTGCTTGCGGCTCCTTCTCAGCTGCCCTGGCACCTTGGGCCTCACAACGTCTGAGGAGCCAGCCGGGGAGCTTGGCTCAGCAACCACTCTCTCCCCTCTCGCCTCCTCTCGTGCCGGGCAGCCAGGTGCTCTGGGCGCAGACTCCAGGACTGGGCTCGGGGGGTGGTCACGCGGGGGTCCCTGTAGCCTGGGCTCTGAGCGGGAAGCGCTGCTAGGACTCTTCCTTGCCGAACCCTCTGGGGAAGCAGCCAGTGCTGATGAGCTGTCCTGCACCGGAGCCCCCGGCTGTGCCGCCACTGGGCTGCCACGGGGCTGTTCCCCTCTTGCGTCCCCTCCCTGTTCAGGGGCGCTTGTTCCAGCCGGGTGGCTGGGAGGCTCCATGGCCTGACTGCTGCTGGCTGCTCCTTTCTCCGATGCTGATGCTGGCTGTGGTGCTGCTGCTTCACAGGCTGTGTCCTGCCCTGGGCTGCTCTCGGCTGTGCCGCCAGCCGGGCCGGCAAGGGTGGCTGCAGGGGGACAGGGGGGCTGCCTCCCCTGTGCGCTGGGCATTGGAGCGGACGAAGGGCAGTTGGGCTTGTCGCTTTTGCACAGAAACCTGCCAACCGAGCCCAGGTCCGCTTCGTCCTCGCTGCCCGAGAGAAGCTCCGGCAGGGTGAGGTGCCCGCCGGTGGGCCAGCACAGGGAGGCGTCTACAGGCACCCCACGTGGGGCAGAGCTTCCCGTGCCAGGCCCTGGCCTGCTGCCCACTCTCACTGCAATCTGCCCGTTTGTGCTGGTGCGGCAGTCCCTCTCCGGCACGCCGTCCCCTTGTTCAATGTCACTGAGACCCTGCTCCTCGGCCGTGGCCAGGGCGGCCGGTGCTAGGCTGCATTCCTCCGACGCCAAGAAGAATTCAGCCCAGTCCCTGTCGTTCAGCTGGATGCTGTACTCAAAGTTATCCATGCCTGCAGCAGCAAAGCAAGGGGAGGGGGCCAGAGAGATCAGGGCATGAGGAGGGGGCACCAGCATCAGCAGACATAGCCGAGGTGTATGCCCCTAACCCTTTCCTCCCCGGTTCCTGCCCTGCTTCCCTACCATCCGCATTCACTCATCCTCACTCGTTTCCAGCTGAAATCAGTGGGAGGCAAGGGCAGCTCCTGGCAGACTCAGCAGGACAGGTATTGCTGTGCTGGACCATAACCCAGCCAGCAGTGAGAGAGACCACTACTACCCCCCTCAGGTCCCTTCTGCCTCTGCTCCCCCAGCACAGCAGCACAGAGGGTTTGGGATTCTCTCCACAGCAACACAGCAGCGTTGCACCTCACATACCCCTTTCCTACTCCTTTTGCCTACAACCCATTTAAAAAAGTGGGGGATTTACGCTCTTGAGCATTCCTGCTGCCACAGCATCATGCATGAAGGTAGCATGAAGCACAGTCCGAACAAGGACATTTCAGCAAGCCACAGCAGCCCCTTCCATACCCGTGGCTCTGGGGAGGGAGATGCAACAGAGCCCAAAACCAGCAGGGGGGATCCAGCAGCAGGAGAAGCAGAGAGAGCACAAAGCTGCATCCTACCTGTACCACAATCTAAGTCGGTGATGGAGCCATTCAAAGAGCCACGCAGGAAAATCCTCCCAGCACAACATGATGCTGTACCCTTGACGGGGGCAGAGAGCTCGGCTCCAGCACAGATCCATTTGGAGGCTAAAAATAGACACACACACCCTCCCTCCCCAGTGTGTCACTTGAGATCCGAGCGTGATGGGTTCAGGGAGGGCAGGCCCATATATAGAAGCTGGTGGGGAAGATGTGAGGGTGCCAGCCAATGCGTTTCTGTCCCACAGCCTCTGGGGTCTCTGGGACCACTCCTGATGCCCACTGCTCGCTTCTGCCCTCTGCCTGGGGTTGCTCCGTGGGATGGCCAGCAAAGGGGCCCGGGCCCAGGCCACAGAGCTCACAGCCTTTAGCACAAGGTGGAGCGTGACATCTGGATGGCAATGACTGTTCTTTTTTCAACATACCCACCTCTTTGCCTCAGTCTGTAGGTTACCCATTTCTAGGGTGACAAAAACATGCCTCAGGGGCATTGTTCGCCTATTGATAGCTCTCCTAGGGCACTTATTGCCCGCCTACTGCAGATTTACATCAAAAGATCACAGCCAGTGTCACGGTCTTGTGACAAACCTTGCACGGTGCGTGGCAGCGGTCCCACGCCACCCAGGAGCATCTGGTGTGGGTGGCAGAGGGAGCCTTGGGTTGGAGACTCAGGGTGAGCCTGGCACGAGGGAGTTACAGGGGAAGCGACTGGCCGAGGGCGGCCTGGCGGGTCAGCAACCAGAGCCAGAAATAGCCCTCAGCTCCTGCGAGTCCCGGAGCGTGCCTCCCACTGCATGCCCTCCCCTGTCCCAGGGGCCAGAAATACATGCCCTGAAGTAGCTGCCTGCAGCACAGTGCCTGTGAGTGTGAGCCCAAGCCCAGCTCCAGGCCCTGCTGCCCCAAGGGGGGCCAGCACTGCCCCGAGGCTCCAGCCACCCCTTCGGTCACCAGGCTGCTGTAGACCCCAAACTGGAGATGGCCAGCCGTGTAGATGCTGTGGGAGCCGAGAGGGACCCACGTGCTCTGCATCCACCTCGGGGGTCCTCGGCGGGGCCGGGGTGCTGGCCATGCCACACTGCATGCTCCAGGGAGCCGGGGGCCAGCACCCAGCTCCTGCCCCGCAGGCCAGAGGGCAGCCGGGCTTCTTGCCCTGCCCTGCCCTGCCCTGCCAGCACCGGCCATCCTGCGGGAAGGAAGCTCCCCGTCGTGGCTGCCTTCACGCACTGCACTGCCAAGGAGCGAGCCAGAAGCGTGCAGCCCACCTGCAGCTGAAGCTGAAGCACACTGCCCCATGCCGCCGGGTAAATATTGACCAGGACACGCTTCCTTTCTCCATGCTCCGGGCTGACGCACACAGGGAGCTTGTCGAGACGAGAAATATGGAAGGAAAGAGGTCTGCTGTCTTCCCATCCTATCTCATTTTTGATCTGGCTACACCCTTCTCCCTCTCCCCCTCACACGCGCTCACAGACACAGAAGGGAAACCAACTGGCTTCCTTTTCTTGGCTGCAGTCAACTTCCTTCCCTTTGAGTCCGGCAGCCAGGGTTAGTCAGAGAAACCTTTAAACTCTGCCTTGCAAACCGCAGCAGAGAACATAAAAGAGACAGAGGCAGCGAGACGGAACTGGAAGCCAGCAGTGGGCTGGCGGCCCGCGTTATCAGTGTCACATTTAAAACCAACGCTGGAGCAGCCACACACCAAACCCAACAGGAACTGCACACACCCCACCACATGTTCCACCCTGGCCTCAGAGACACAAACAAGTCTTGGCGCAGGAGGCATCCAAGTATTTATTTAGCTGTCCAGGGTAAAGCCCACACACCGTCCTTGGGGAAATTACGCATCTGCTAGCACTTCCCTGCCTTCCTCTGGGGGGGCCATAAAAGCACAGCGTGGACTTCCAAGGGCAAGGCATGCTGCCCCGAGCCACGCAGGCTGCAGAAGGGGCATTATGCCGTCTGCGAAGGACATCCAGCACTTGCAGCCCGGACAGACCGTCTCCAGTTACCTTCTGGCATGTGGTGCGTGACCCTGTGCCTCTCTGGGATATCTGGCTCCAGCTCTCCAGAGCCATCTCCAGAGGAGCTGGTGCCAGATGCTGGGATGCTGCAGGGCTGCTGCAGCACCTCCGGACCAACGTGACCGGCGGATGCCACCTGCCAAGCTGTGGGCAGGCGGGCACAGGCCTCCCCACCACCTCCCAGCACCTCCAATATTGACACTTTGGTATTAAGGACATTATATAAATAACTAATGTCAACGTGTAATTAGAGAAGGGCCTGAAATAAAGCAGCAGATGAGGCCCCTCTCTGCCTGACGACATAGGACACAGCATGGGAGAAAGAGCCAGAATCAAAGGCATGGAAAAGGGAGCTAGGCAAGAAAACCGGGAGTGCCATGGAGGGGCACTTCTTTTGGCATAAAGACCCCTTCTGTGGCTTCAGGCTCCACATTCGTTACTCCCAGTGTAAAGGGACTTCAACAGACTGACGGGGGGAAAGGAGCTATCAGAGCTAAATAGAACAATACTCTGAGATAAGCAGTTTCCTACCCAGGAAACTCCATTTGGGAAAATTCTACCTTCACAGAGCTTTTAAAATCAGCATTAAAATGTCACGAGCATGGGGGGTTTGGCTGAATTCACTGCTGAGGCAACGCAGACAATGCAGAGAAATGTGGGTCTGATTACAAACACGTCCTCCCTGCCCTGATCTAGACCCATCACATGCTGTGTGTTAGGGGAGGAAGAGAGTGATGAGTTTGCAGGGAAAACAATGGGGAAAAAAAAAACCATAATGGGAAGAGAAATATGTCCACAGCTTCAGGAGCAAGACTACAGTGGCCCTGGCTGCTTCCCACTGCCTGGGACAGACAGCTCTATTTGTTGGCATTTTCTCATGCCTTCTTCCGCTTTGGCTTGATCATCATCCTTCAACCTCGGTCACTGGTATAGTGTGGCCTTGTCTGCCCATCTCTGGCTGATCCCTGGACTCTGGCCTTCTGCTCTCACGGCACCAGCCTTTCCATCTTGTGATCTCCCCCTGATCTGATTCATTTCTCCCCTTCCATAAATTTCTGCGAGGTACAAGCTGCCATATAGATAGCTCAGCCCTTCGCGTCCAGGAGTAGGGAATGCTGAGCTGCTCAGGTACAGCTTCGACCTTGCACTGCTCACAGCCATGAGACCTCCATCGTGATGAGGAGAGAGCAAACAGGGAATTTAGATCTACCCCAGAGAAAGCCTGGAAGTAACAGTTACTCCATGCTGAGGAAGGGGTTAAGTCTGCATTGAAACTCAGAGTGCAGTGAAGCTGTAACCACCAGTCTGGTTTTGCTGGTTTGGGGGCAGGTGAGTGGCTAGGAATTATCACCCCCAAACTATAAGAGGTCTGCATTGTTTTTGCCTAAACCCTTTAACTGGTGGGGTTTTTTTTGCCTGAAACTCACTCCCCAGGCTCTCTTAAAATTCAGGCCCATGCTTCCCGAGCAGCCAGCAGCGGGCTCACTCAAAGGTCAGCCTTAGCTGACTTGAAACTCAGCCCGCACTTGCCTGAAACTCTGCCAAGCTCTTCCAAAAGGCTTGTATCCTGGCCTGAGTTTCGGGTTGCTAATCCAAGTCTCACTGGGTTTCAGGTTTCCCTGCAAGCTTTGGCTTCGCTCTACACAAGAATAGCCTCAGGCCACATCTACTCTGCTGGCTGGACCCTTCCTGCCGGGGCAGGGGTGGCAGCAGGTAGCCACCTCCCATGCCAAGAAAGAGGAGGCAGGGCAAACAGGGCACACAGCTGCCCAATATCCATAACCCTGGACTCACCGGAGGCAGGGCAAACAGGGCACACAGCTGCCTCAGAGGCACAGGACACAGACGGGCCCAATATCCATAACGCTGGACTCACCATCCCTGAGGGGCAGGTTCTGCAACTCCCCAGCTTTGCCTCTCTCCGGGCACTGTCAGCCAGAACAGCCAAGGGGCGGTGGGGCCACCATTCCCTGTCCCAGCACGGTGCACAGCCAGAGAACCCGGCAGGACGAGCTACAGCCATGTGAGCCACAGGAGCAGCTCCTAGCTGTCGGAGGACAGGCAAGACCTGAACTGGCATGAAACTTAGCATTGCAAAGTTAGCCCACTGCATTGTTTTAATCTGAAGTATAGCACAGTAATACCAGACCAGTGCATGGTCTGTTGTGGCTGTAGTATTTCTGGCTCAGGACCAGCAGCCGTAAGGCCAGGTGACCGCTGGCGTGTCACAGCCATCTCGCTTTTCACGTTGCTCACTGATGTGAGACAAACCACAAAAAGTATGCCAAGCTCTCTGCAAGCCATAGCCAGACAGATAGAGCTATTCTATTTTTTTTACAAGTCCTGAAAAGAGGCTGCTGGGCTGTAGTTCCAGCTTACAGGAATCAGTTTCATCGCTGAATCCAACAGGATCAGTATTTTACCTGTGGAACTCATTTTTCCTGCCATTTCCACTAGATGTCACTTACAGCCAGAAAGTTAGCAGTTTCCCTAGATTTTTAACCTCCTCCTGACGCACAGGTCCATGCTAATCCTAAAAAGGGGTCTTAGGTGTCCAGGACATTAGGACTGTAATGGTATTAGAGCAGTCAGGATTGCAGGCTGTAAGGGAGGGGTGTAGGGGAAGCTACCATCTCCTGAGCATCCAGTCCAGCTGGTGTGGTGCCTCTAGGGGAAAGCAAAAAGCCGCGTTCCTTAAGGCTGGAAGAGCAGGGTCTTTGCTAACACTGACTTGTGCATGTTGGGAGTCTCTACAGCAAGCCTGTCCTGCTTTGTGCTGCAACGTTAGACGTTCAGTGATCCAACGCAGGTGGGTCACCAGCTGCCCCGTGTGGGTGTCCAAATCTCCGAGCCAGCAGGCAGCTCCATCTCCACAGTCACCAACCCACCCTAAGCGCTTTGGGGTAAAAGGCCTGTTCTGCCTTTGCACATCGTTGCACGCATGAGGTGCTTGGCCCTGAGTGGGGGCTCAGAGGTGCTGCTGCAATGCGAGGCAGCAATACCAGTAGTCTCCCGACCCTGGGATCACAGCATGGCCCGGGGCCAGGGCCATGCCAAGCCCTCCAGACAGCAACAAAAAAACCATTGGCATCTCCATCCTAGT